CTTTGGGTGTGGGCGTAACGATCTGCGAAGGCAGTCGCTCGACCATTCCTAATCAACAGCGACACCTTCCACGCTAGGTGAAGCACTTCGAGATACAGTTCAGCAGGTCACCAGCCTCCGTTTCTCACACCGCTATTCCGGCACACGTCTCATGGTCTGTCTCAACAGACCCACCTTCTGTGGCGAAAATCCATAAGATCCAAGCCTTGGAACGTCAAAGCGCCTCGCTCCAATGGTCTTCTTCAGTTCTATTTAAAGATGATGGAATAAAGCTTGTTAGAGAATTGGTGTCTCTCTTCTCTAAAGTCTGGCACACTGTGCAGGTCTGCACGTGGGCTGAATCGATTGTTGTCCTCGTCTTTAGAAAGGCCCCGCGCATCGAGTGCGACAACCATAAGGGTGCGAAGCTTATTCCAATAGCGTCAGAGCTATTAGCTTCCATCATCGTCCAACGGTTATAGGAGATACGTGAAGAGCAGGTTGCGTTTCAGGTTGGTCGATCGTGGAGGCATCGATCAAATCTCCACCCTCCAAAAGCTGCTGGAGCACCGTCATACCTATCAAAGACCGACGACTGTTGGGTTTCTAGACATCCGTGCGACCTTCAACTTTATCGATAGGACCACACTACGGAACATTTTATTGAGGAATGGAGTACCAGAGAAGTATGTGTCGATCCTCAGAGAGTTGTATGGTCATGCCTTAAGTCGGGTTAGGGCCTGGATCCAGCTTTCGCCACCCTTTGCGGTCTCCAGTGAAGGTCTTTAAGGCTACCCTATATCCGCATTCCTTTTGAACTTTGTCATAGCAGATGTGCTACCGAATGCTTGGTCCGGTCTAGCAAATGTGAAGGTATCCAGCTTTGGTATTTGCTTTGTAACATCCAAATGCAAGACTAGCAGGAACCTTTGGCTCTACTCCCTCTCTGTGGTGATTAGCCGGAAGTGATTGAGGGCTTTAATGAGCTCGGAAACTTGATCGTAGCTGGTGTTGGGGAGGAGATCACACCACGAATAGCGAAAGATAGAGCAGCTTCTGACGAATTGCGACACCTGTTGTGCCGCCATGACATTTGACTGTCCTTTAAAAGGAAGGGTGCACATCTCCGCGGTTCGTGGTGTTCTACTTTATGGTTGTGAGATCTGGGCCCTCACTGGCTCTGGTACGACCACTTTCAGTTCAGTGTCAAATTAGACATTCCACTAATCCTTTGAAAGTCTGACAACATCGAATCTCCATTTGGC